TGCTTTTAAGAGTTGTGCCTTTGTGCCTCCAAAGATTGATTCACACCACCCCGATAACCAACCTCCATAACTGTTCAGTAATTGCTTCATTTCTTCTTTAGAGTTAAAAGTGATAAACGCATTTCGGCCTCCTCCTTCTCTAAGTTGTATGTCCTTCAATCCTCTGTTATGACATTCGATCTTGAAACCATCAAAGTTGCAATGAGGTTTAAGCTTGATTACTGCACTCAATAGTAGCCAACCAATGGCATATTCCTCCGCTTGAATTCTGATGTGATTATCACTACCCGACCTCCCTCCTTTTAAGACATCCGCATAAGAGTGTCTCCCTCCAATCCCAGCGCCAGACACTGTTGAGACTCCATCTGGTTTGTATGCTCTTGGTCTCGGATTAATCAGATTCTTTTCTTTTCCGAAATCTGCTTTTTTCACCTTCAAAGCTTTATCGCCGCACCATACTCCATTGGCTTTCTGAATTGCAATCTCCGCTGCAACAGGACAGTCGTATCGTACGAATCCAAATCTGGTTTTCGTTGCTTTTCTTCGTTTGTCGGGGATGTAGACATCCTTGACCACTCCAAAGTTGGAAAATATGGTGTACAAACCTTTAGGATTCATCAAATGTGGGATCTCATCAACAAAGATCGTGTGCAGTTGTGCTGCCGCCCCATTTCTACCTTGTCGTCGACGGAATACTGGATTCCACCCACCTTGTTGTCGTTCCATTATTACTTCATATATTCTTAATACAATATTAACAATTAAACTGATGTATTAGACACACACATAAGATTGTAAACTGTATGATTGTATTTAAAATTTTAAAATTGACATGAATTTAGAAAAAAATCAAAAGTTGAGAGAATTGATAAAAAACAAAAACATAAACAAAAACAAAACAATAAAATTGAATTTACAACGTAACTGCCCATATAGTTGATATGGAAGTATTTTGAGGGGGGAAAAAAAATTGAGATATTAACACCAATTCCCCCCTTCTCTTTGTAATAATATAGATAGATAGGGAGACGGATAGATAGATTTTATAAATGAGAAATTTTATCATATGCCTTAGTTGCGCTTTTTGTGATATTTGTGTATGATACATTATGATGTTAATTATAATTTGGTTATAATTTAGTTAAAACTCATTGTGCTGTTAATTATGACCTATTGTGATCATAGTTATGATATTATTTTAGCTATGATTCAAAAGATTTTTTGTCATAACTTATGTCATATTGGGTTATGACTCAATTTTTTTTTTTGAAATTATAACTGAAAATGATCTAATTATAGATTTTGTGGTAATCAACACCACAAATGTCTCAATCTTAAAAAAACAAAAAACAAAAAAAATGTCAAGCATAACCTTTTATAAATATTTTTACTGGGTTTAGTTAGAAAATTTAGAAAAGAATCACTTTGCTTGGTTTGAGTTTTCTAAAAATATTTTTTATAAAATTCTACTAATTTTACTTTCTTATTTTTTTTTTGTTTTTACTGAATTTTTTTAATATTTTATGCAAATTTTTTTTTTATTTTTAGACACACTTAATATAAATACACTTGAAAAGTATAATTTTCGTGAAAAAAAATCTTTAAAAATTTCACTAAATACTAAAAATACAAAAAAAAAAAATTCAGTATATTTTTTATATTTTTGTGTATTTATTAAGTTTTAAAAATATTTTACTTTTTAGATACATCTAAGTAAGGCACATCTAAAAAATAATAAAAAATGCTTAAAATTTTAAAAATCTTCACTAAAAACAAAAAAATCCGAAAAACAAAAAACTCATTTTTCAGAAAACTAAATTCAAAAAACTGAAACCAAACATACTAAATACAATGCTAGGCAGTATACTAAAAGTGTAGAAAATGTAGTGTACGGGAAAGAAATATACTTCCTCGTATAATCCTGTTGACCAAGTCTGTGCTCCTCCGTACGATGTCGCCTTATCACCTGAAAACACAAACGTGAGCTAGCTGGCGGGTGTGTGCCGGAAACCTCTCCGATGCCTAAGTCAGAAAACTTGACAAATAGACAAAGCTCTATGTTTTCAGAAAGCAAAATTGTGTTGTGTTCTGTTACCTCCTCCAAGGTGATGTTTGTGAGCTTTTTATAAGTTTCGTGTGGCACAATCCTAGTAGGACTCTTATTCCTCCATGCAGAGTCCTCCTAGGATTCATACTCCTAAGGATAATGCTTATCCTTTTACACCCCCCACTGCTTAAACCAAGTGGGATGGTTTTTACTTTGGCCGAACTACGATATGACCGAAATAAGCTTGGCTATGCAGAGCCACTGAGTAGGCCGAACTATTCTTAATTCGGTTCTGCTTTTATTCCTCATCTCGGTTCTCTGCTCAACCCATAGCACAGCTGGACCAAACTTAACAAATCGCGACCGGTAACTCCTCATCTCGGTTCTCCTCTGCTTAATCCATAGCACGGTTGAACCAATCTTAACAAGTCACGGCCGGTATAACTCCTAGGTCGGTCTAACTCAAAGATACCGCTAGACCGACCTATTCAAGATATATCCTGACCGGACTAACTCCGAGACCGGCCTAGCTCCAACTTGCCCGGATTAAAGTAGCTTTACTATTCTTGAACCGAAGTAACTTTATAATTCTTGGGCCGGAGTAACTTTATAATTCTTGGGCCGGAGTAACCATTTCTATTGGGCCGGAGTAATCATTACGGCCTTTTTACCCAGTCCTTCGCACTTTGGACCACAAAGCCCAACTCACAGCTCGGCCCAATTTTTCCCAAAAATTACCCTCTCAGGTCGTATTTTAATAATAACTGTAAGTGTATTTTCAATTAGAGCAAAGCCTCTTTAGTAAATTATTTGGTACACGCTTTGGCTACCAGATAAAAATTTATATATTGTTAGCCCAATAATTGTTTTCTATCAGGTAAATTAGAAGGAAAATTTTATTTCCACATACTATTTATATTTTGTACATATATTAGGTCTCGTTTGGGAATAAATTTTTTTAGTAATTTTTTGATTTTTTAGTTAAAATATGATGTAAAAAAAATTAGTATGTTTGGAATGTTGACTTTTTGATTTTTTTATTAACTTTTTGACTTTTTAACTAAAAGAGGCACTTGCCAAACAAAGCCTTAAAGAAAAATATTTTTTTTACAATTTTAAACCTATAAAAATTACTAATATAGACATTAGTAAACAACCCCACTTGAAGTTATAAAAAATCTCGCAACACATCCATTACAAAAAATACTAAACCCTATTATACTCTATTTTTTCTCACTTAAGTCTCGTTTGGGAACAAACTATTTTAGTAATTTTTTAAATTTTTATAAAAAGATGCGCAGAAAAATAGAAAGAATAATGTAACAACTTGTAATAACTTTTAACTTTTTAACTAAAATATATAATTAACAAAGGAGACCACTCCATTATTACATCGCAAAGTACTCATCTTGTCCAATCCATTATCATCCTACTTAAGTTAACACATTATTAGCTTACTTTAATTCTCAAAGCCTCTCAATCTATTAATCAAATTCCATCCTCATTTTTAGTGTCATGAAAGATTTGTATGATGAAAATTTAGATTTTGATAGGAGAAAATATTTTTTCTGCCAAATTATTACACGAAAATCAATTTGATATCCAAATTTTATTTTATTTTAATTTGACACTTAAACCTTTTCAAATATGATCAATTTATCCCTCGTTGTGTAATTCCATCTACAATCAAACGAAATATGCTGACGTGACACCAAACAGTTTTTGGAAATATCAAAAAATTTACCCACATAAAAAAATAAAACCTATTCAAATATTTAGTTTAAAATTTTAAAACATAAGATTTTATTTAATTATTCAGAACACCCTTTTTATTTAATTGCCGAAAACAATCCTTGTCCATTACATAGGAGGAGAAAGAAAAGGAGAGAGTAGAGGTTTCTTTTTTATTAGGTGTTGTAGACATGGCAATATAGTTGGAAATTTATTAGACCCACATTGACCTTCTTTTTTTATACAAGAACTGGAAGATGAGATTTCTACTTCATTTAAAATAATGATTACAAATTGGGTAAGTAATCAAATTTTTTAAAAAAAAAAATTAATTCATCTGAATCTTTCACAAAATAATTAAGTTCGGTTACCATAATGTTAGCTCTAACAATGCACAACATTAATAACAGAAGCACTTGCTTGTGTTGTACGCGTGTGCATGAGAGATTAATACAGCCCCATGCATCTAGAGTAGTAGGTGAGTTGAGTGTCATCATCAAATTCAAATTCACATAATCTTATGAATTAAGTAACGTGGATCTTGATAAATATTAAATATTAATTTTTTGATTATGGATCTAACTAATTGACGAGGTAGTGTAAACAATGATAAGGGTATTTTAGTATTTTAAAATTTTGCTATATATGTTGCTCAATATTGGTTTTTTTCTCCAGTTTAAATTTAAATTGGAGGATGTTGTCTAGGACAGTGTGATCCATCACAAGTTTTGTTTTGATAATCTGAATTACTCATTTTGTTGAGTCCTTTGTGTATATAATCTGTGAAAAAAATTAAGTCGATTTAATAATCGCAATTTCTTTTTTTTATTAATTTTTTTTTATCATGTTTGTCTCTAAAAATAGTTGCCTATTTTTTTTAGACAAACTTGATAAAATAAAAATATTACGATTATCATATTAACCTAATTTTTTTCCCATAGATAATATACAAGTGTCTTATAAAATGAATGATTCAAATAATTAAAACAAAACCCATGGTGAGACTTACCCAAACAGTCACTACAAGAAAATACATTTTTGGCGACTAAAAAAAATTTAGTCGCCAAAAGTTACGGAATTGGCTACCAAAAATAAAATTAGTCGGCAAAAGTCAAATATTTAGCTACTAATTTTTTTTAGCCGGGGAATATTGATTATTGGCGACTAAAAAAAATTTAGTAGCTAAAAATATTATAATTGGCGACTAAAAAAAATTTTAGTAGCTAAAAATATCACAATTGGCGACTAAAAGAAATTTTAGTAGCTATAGAACTAGTTTAGCTACTAAAATTGTTTAGTAGCCAAATGAAACAAAAAAAATTATTTTTTATCTTTGGTGACCAAAAATTTGGTGGCCAAAAGTATATTTTCAGCGACAAAAGAATATTTTTGTCGCCGTATAGTTAGTTTTAGCTACTAAAATTGTTTAGTAGCCGAATGAAAAGAAAAAAAAATAGTTTTTATCTTTGGCGACCTTTTGGTCGCCAAAAGTATATTAATAGCCACAAAATAATATTTTAGTCGCCAAAAACCTAAAATGTGTGGGGGGAGATTTCAAATTTCAGACGGATTAAAAAAATTATTAGCGACTAAAAGTATTTAGTCGGTAATGGTGTAATATATATATATATATATATATTTGGTTCCCAGACAACAACAGACCAGCGCCTCTGTATCTCTCTCTTCAGCGTTTCTCTCTACCTCTCCCATTATACTGCCTCTGCCACTCCGCTGCTCTTCTCCCCTCCCTCTCTCACCGCCCTCCACCAGCCGTGCCTCCGCCACTCCTCCTCACGGTCGCCGACAGCTGGAGCATCGATTGCAAGCTCTCTCTCTCTCTGTGCAGTTCGCATTTTGACACAAAATCTAGGTTGGTGATTAGGTCTTCTTCTACACCATTTTTCTGGGTATTGATAGAACCATCAATGTTTTTCTTCATTGAAACCGTTTCTTCATTGAAATCTTCTTCTACCACTCTCTTTTTCTTCCTCTTCTAGTCTTCTTTGTGTGTATATATATATCCATATATATATATATCAAAACCCATTAAAATCTAATGGCTCGTTGCCCCCCATGAATTGTTGGTTTGGGAAGTTGTTATGGCTTTTCAATTTGTTTGTTTGTTTGTTTGTGCTTTTTTTCTTGCCTTCAAATTGTTTGATAAAATGTCTCTTAGGCTTTTCAAAAATCTAATCTACTTTGTTGTATCATCTCGAACCTAGAATCAAATGGGTGATTTCAATTATTGTGGGTTTTGATTGTTTTATAGTGAATTTTGATGATGCAATATGAATAAATAAATAAATAAATAAATAAAAGAAAAGCATGACAAAGCTTCAAAAACAGGTTCACGCTAAATGGTTTGTATAGTTTATATAATAGTATAGATAGAGTAAGAATTGGCTCCAGAATGGGAGTGGAGGAATTCACCAACGTGATCAGACTTCATCCATGCTGAACATGCTGTTTCGTTTATAATATAGAATAGATGTATGTATGCATGAATAAATATATTTCAATTGTGTAATATTTTTCAAAGCCATAGATTCAGTTTATCTCTTTTTTTATTCTTTGAGATGCTCAAAATTTAATAAATGGGGTTTCCACTTTTTCAGGCATAATTAAAGATTTGTATCAGCTTGTGATTCTTTCTTAGCATTACATTGCTTTTCAAGTAAATATATATCATTCTACTTGGTAGCTGCTAATATATATATCTAATCTACATGGATCTACTTGGTAGCTGCTTTTCTTAGCATTGCATTACCAAGTCTGCTAGCAAGTGTTTTTTGGCTCAGTTTTCATAAACTGTTTTTTGATTTCTTGTTTTCAATGTTTTTTTTTTTTTGTTTTTGGTCATTAGTGATTTTTTTTTATATATTTTAATGATTCGTTTTGACTTTTTAGATGAATCTAATCTACATGGATCCAAAATATATACATGAAGAAATCTATATAAAAAAAATAGAAGAAAAAAGTTCACTAAAGATTTTTTTTCTCTTTAATGAAGTTTATTTTATTTTTAGATTTCTTCACATATACTTTAATTATTAGTTATAAAAAATCACTAAAAATTTTTTTAGTGCAGTAGTACTTGTTTGTTGATTGGGGTAATGATTAAACTAAACAACGTGATTTATTTGTGTTGCTTGTTGTTTATGATTTATTTGTGTTACCAGTATAATCTTCATATAGGGAGGTTGGGTTGGTTTGACAAATTTTAACACACAAGTCAATCAACTGCTTGATTTTTATCATCTAACTCACCAAAACCCAACCCTCTCTTAAATTTCAACATCTGGTTTCCTTGACAGTTAGGTTCAGTAACGTCAGGGAAAGAAGACATTGGAAATTATACTGGTATATGCATCATTGTAGCTACTTTGGGAGTTGCAGATGGCCATGTTCAAGGAGGGATGGTTGGAGACCTATCCTTCATGTGCCCTACATTCATCCAAGTAAGCCTTTCAAAGTGTATTATTTCTTTCAAGTTAATTATATTTAGGAACACTTACGTGTAAATCTTAATAGATAGACTTATTATCCAATAGGTAATATGATAAGTAAGCCTTTCAAAGTGTATTATTTCTTTCAAGTTTATCATTATGTTTTTAACACTACATTGTGACAAGTATAAGTGATGAAACTTATTCAACCAATCTAGTGGTGACAATTCACATGGTACTTCAAATGCGGTGTAAAAGTATATGTTAATCCCTCAATCTCTTTGAGAGTGAATAGATCATTTTTTTTATTCTTAATTTGTGTTAATTTATTAATGGGCATTACTAATTGTATGAAATTGACATAATGTGAAAAAATAAAAGATAAAATTGATGTAATTGAAACTATAGAATCAAATTGGAGTGAACAATCTATAAGGACCACATGTTTAATTTCCCAACAAGAAAAAATAAGAAGAAGAAAAAAACAAAGAACAGAGAAAAGAGAAAGAGTCATTTTTTAATTTAGAGCCAAAAATGGCGGTAATATAGGACCAAAAACGGCGGTTTTTTACCGCCGTAAATAGGTTCAAATTTTTCAAAAAATAATTCTTTCTCCTTACACTCCCCAAGTTTTGAACCCAAGACCTCTCATCCAGCAATACCAACCACTCTGCCATAGCCACTCTTCATGAAATATATTCTCTAAATAAATATTTAAACATTACTTTTACTTTATTGTAGATGGTTTCGCCGGAGTTTCGCCGGAGCACGCCGGAGCTCCGCCGGCAAAGACCGCCGTCATTAACGGCGGTAATGATTGGGCATTAGCGGCGATTTTGTTACTGCCGTTAAAAGTGGGCATTAACGGCGGTTTCGTTACCGCCGTTAAAAGTGGGTTTCATTACCGTCGTTAAAGACACTTTTAGTGGCCGTTTTTTTAACAGCGGTAACGAAACCGTCGTTAATGATACATTAACGGCGGTATTAACGGCGGTTTTCGTTACCGCCGTTAATAGTACCTTTTACGGCGGTTTTCGTTACCGCCGTTAAAAAAACCGCCGTTAATGCCCTGTTTTGGTGTAATGATTGTATGAAATTGACATAATGTGAAAAAATAAAAGATAAAATTGATGTAATTGAAACTATAGAATCAAATTGGAGTGAACAATCTATAAGGACCACATGTTTAATTTCCCAACAAGAAAAAATAAGAAGAAGAAAAAAACAAATAACAGAGAAAAAAGAAAGAGTCATTTTTTAATTTAGAGTTCTTATGTGATCGTAATAAATCAAAAGTTAATACATTACTTGACATGTCAGTGTGAGACTTAAATTGTAAGTCTTAATTTTTTTCAATTAGGAGGGGCCTTTAAATATTAATTTTTAAAGGATCTTATATAAATTAAGGTGGGCACAATTATAATTTTTAAGGGTTAAAACAAAAATATTTTGCAAATATATAGGTACTAGTGTAATTACAAAAATCTGAGGAGGGGCACGTGCCTTTTTGGAGTTAATTATGTTTTTCATTTTTGTAATTTGACTCAAATTTTATTTTGATCCTTATAGTTTTAAATTGAACAGTTTAATTCTTACACTTCAAAATTAGTTTTAGTTTAGTCACCCACCTCAAAAGTATAAACTTAGGATATATAGAGCAACTAGATTCATATGTTGTATGTACTCAGATTGAACATCAAAAATTTTATTTCATATATATTTGAGTATGCAAAACTAATGATTAATTTGAAAAGATTATTTAATTTTGAGTTTTATATGTTTTTTTTATAATTTTAAATTGGCCAATATTTAGTCAATACTAATGATTAATTTTATTTTTATTTTTTTGCAGATGGTTTTTGACGTACAAATGTGGATATGACTTTTTTTGACAACTACGGAAGGGCAGTGTTTTTATATCTCTGTCTGTATGTATAGTGGCTCATACAAATTAGTTTTTTTGCGTGGTAAATATCTAAAATTTGGCTTGATAGAAATTAGCATTGGACGTGGTACACATTAGTTTTTGGGGCGGTACAGAATAAATTTTTGGTGTGGTATAGATTTCCTTTTGGATATTAAATTTGGTTAATCCTCTATTATGTATGGAATTAAATTATTGGGGGTTGCATTATACTTGATATCAATGGAATTTGTATTACATTTAGAATTGGACGTTGAATATAAATTTTTTGGATGGTTGGAAGTGAAATGTGTGCACGTTGTTGAATGGCTGATAATATATTCAGTATTGATGGATTATATTGTTTATACAGGGTACAGGTTGCACTAATAATGGATACAGGTGGTTCAGAAATTTAAAAAAAAAAAAAATTAATATAGTATTTGGTGACTAAATATGTCGGTAGCCAAAAATGTAAGCAAATGTTTTAGCGACCAATAATTTAGTAGCAAAAAATAACCAAATGGCTTTTGCGACCAAACCACATAGTAACTAAAACAAATCAGAATGAGGGAAGTTTAATTGCCGACTAAATATTTTAGTCACTAAAAACATAACATCCTTTGGCGACTAAAGTGTTTGGTCGCTAAATGTACGTATTCTATTAGCGA